TCGTCATTCTTCGTTTCCTCTTCGATGTTTATTTCTTCTCTAATGTTCCAATGTTCCTCTATAATGAATTTATAAGTGGGCTTTAACCCCAAAAAAATACAACTGGTCGGAGGAAAAATAGTGTGAATTTTTTCCTCACAAATAGTATGATTACATTTAATGTGAATTTGATTGACAACCAGCTTATTTTCATTAAAAGTTAGAAAAAATTGTGAAGCCGGTAGTATCTTGTAATCTGGTTGGTTTATTATGTAGAGTGTATATATGGAAGGTGCATTTGTGTAAATATTTGAGACCTAGTATCCTTCTTGTACCGCCTCTATATATATTGTAATCTCTCATTTAGTGAATAATTAATAAGTTGCCTATTCTAATTATATCTTCAAATCCACATTAGTTGACGAAAAAATGTCAACAAAACCTACGAAATTACGAAGTGCTCGTTTGGTCCATGCGGTCGCAGATCAAGTTTGAAATCATTTATGTTGGTTAGAAAATTTGTAATTTAACAAGAACAGAAAATATTGCTTTCATATCTTTCTAGCTATTCTCTTTTGTCCAACTAGTCAAATTTGATTTTCTTTTGGTTCAGTTACGATTTTTATTTATTTATTTGAGTTTGGTTTGAAATTATGGTTTCATTATGCGAGTACGCCGAGTCCTAAGCATCCACTCGCTTAGTGAACCATGCCTATGCCGATCCACTCAATAACCAAGAAGATATAGACATAAGATAGAATCCAAAGGGATGATTAAACAATATAATTCCATATTATTATACGTACTTATATATTTAGTGATTCTTATGCAACACATATTCAATCACAACGCGACAAATCATAATCACTAGTTTACGTAACCTCAAGGACCCACAAACCCATATTCAACCCATCTACATCCACACAAATATTCCTTGTGAAATGGCATATAGTGCAACCATAAATTGTCGCCGATTTACACTGCAATCTTGTTTTTTTGTGTGTCTTTGTTTTCAACTAAAATACGATAATATTGGACGGTCTACTAGACAAATACCACTAACCTAAAGCCAAGAACATTGTCTTAGCTTCTCTTATTGTTAACCTCATCATTTCATTGACTTATTTTTCAAACTCTCTTTTTGGTACGCGGCATTTTCAACTTAATATACACTACTCTCAACCTACAATTGACCAGACTTGGTTAATACTCGAGCACCTACAATTGAAAAAATAAGTTCCAATAAAATTGGAATCGATAAAGAATCGATCACTTCATGCCGCGAAATTAAGTTTAAATAAGTTGTGACTACATTTAAGGTGAAATTGTACCTAATATGATAAGTTGTCTATCAGATCCACATCAAATACTACTAAAACAAAACAAGGGAAAACAATGAAACTCAAGATGAATAGTAAGAAA